CCCACCTGGAAAATCACCTCCATTCACTCCAGGAATTTCAGAGGAAAAATTCTTAACCCCCACCTGGCCCCAACACACAAATATTTACAGAGACATAACAAAGAAAGAAGCAGTTTGGCTCCCTTGCTGAGGGCAGGAGCTGCTGCTCCAGGAGGAGAATCCAACTCCCTCAAAAGTCACCAGGAGTGTGTCCTAAAGGGATGGGAAAAGCTCCAGGACAGGTAAACTACTCCTTGGTGGGGGTGCAGCCTGAAAAGAAGCTGATGTTTCTGCTCAGCATCCCCTTCCTCGTCCTCCCAAAGGGGTTCTGGTTCTCCTGGGACGACTCATTCCTCAGGGAGGCAGCAGTGCTGGGAATCTTCAGGAGCACCTCCTGCTCTGTGAGGTCCTGCAGGCCCTGGGGGAAAGCAAGGGACAATCTTTGGAGTTAGTAACCCACCAGAGGCAGCAGGACACCAAGTGCCAGGCCAACCTCAAGAGTTGCTTTTTTTACTCAAGTCAGGAAAAAGACAAAATTTTTGACGAAATATCAAGATGCAGCAGGAAGAGACAGCAGTTGGAATAGTGGGAGATATGAGATAAGGGGATTTGTTTAGCTGAGGTGAAATGAGATGTGCCAGGTCAGAGAGGTCACTTTGAACATGAACAGACAGAATTTTATCCTGCAAACTCCTCACTTCCCCTCTCTCCTTGCTGAAGGTGCTGCAGGAAAACGTGGCAAGCTCGTGGCATCATTTCAGTGTGGGAACTGAGGAATTCAGCACACTCTCAGCTTCCACACGAGCTGCCTGGAGCTGTGCAGAGTTTTCCAGCAGCAGCTTCTCCTCTGGGGTGACCTCCCTGCAAGACCCCTCACTCAGCAGCTCTGCTCTGCCCTGGGAATACCCTGGTGGTGGGAGTGATAGACACAGGCTGGAAGAAGCTCTCCTCTTTCACCTCCGTGGGTCTTCCAGCTTCAAGGACTCCTCTGAGTCCCTTTTGTGCTCCTCACATGTTGTGGTTTCCCAAGGGGCAGCAGAGGGTGAAGCTCTTGCAGAGCATCCATCCCTTCCCTTCCCACCACAGCCCCCTGCTCTCCAGCTGGGAAGTTTTCCACAGTACAGGATGCTGCAGCTCAGACTAAGATAAAATAGGCAACAATTAGAGCACTATGGGATGTCCCTGCTCCACATCTCTGAGATCCAAGAGCAAAATTCCCACTTGGAACGTCAGTTTCTCATGGACCTTCCTGCTCCTCCCCCACACCATCCCTTCCATTCTTAAAAAGAAATCTAGGAATGAGTCAGGGTTTTGTGTTGTCTGAAGCCAAAGACAAAACTTTAATTTACTTAGTCCAAAAGGAAAAATGGAACTTTTTATCCTCAGATTTGTGGATGAGAAGTGGGAACACGAAAATCTTTGCTGTGAATCTCCAAAATTCTGTCCTGATAGGCAGAGTCTGGTCCTGCAGTGGAAAATTTTCCTCAGTTACCAGAGGGGCACTAATTAGTGACATTCACAGAGTTTCAGCAAAGTGCACCTGCTCTGCCTGGACAAACTAGACTTGTGTGGGAATTATCCCTTCCTCCAGCATTGCTCCTGCCCAAATGCAGACCCTGCAGCCTCTGTGCCCCCAGAGCCAGCAGCACTCACCAGGCCCCGCTCCCTGTTCCTGCACGTGGCCGTGGAGCATCCCAACTTCTGCCCGTTCCCACAGCAGCATTGCACGAGCACTGTGAGGGAGGGAAGGGGAATCCAAAGGCCAGGATGCTCCTGGAAGGCTCCAGGTGCTGCCAGCTGTGGCATCTCAAGGACGGGGACACCCCCAAGCTGCCCCTTGTTGCATTTTGCTGCCGTTTCACTGCATTTTGCTACATCCCAGAATAACTGTCCTCCTAATATACAGAATAAAATCCTTCCACCTACAGATCCATCTTCAAGATCTACAGGATAAGTACCTTCAGCTACTCAGTGCCTGACTGGAGGTTATGCCAAAGGATCCCAGTTTCTGTGCCATACTTCCACAAAAAGAGGGAGTCCCCACCCCAAAAGCCTCAGGAATTTTTTGAGCCACAGGCTAAAGCTCCAGACTGACACATACAGATGGAAGCTGAGGCTCTGTCAGGACTGCAAGCTGCAGGCTCCCAAAGGAAACAGGGATCCACAACAGGCCATCAATTTTTTTGTTTGCTTTTCCCCCTAAAATTGGCTCCCTGGATGGATCTGGCTGCTGTTGGGGCTGTTCCTAAAGCAGTGGCCAGCTCAGACACAGGCAGCAGGACAGAGCATGGGAGAAGGTGACTTGGACAGGGAAAACCTGTCCAGAAAAGTCTTGCTGACTGCAGACAACCTTTGCTGTGTCTGTGGGAGTGTCCTAAATATCCCCAGGCACCCAAAAACCCATTCCTGCCACTTTGAGAACAGTGGAGACACCACACCTCACAGCTCCATCCCACCCCCTGCACACAGCAGGTGTTTCCCCAGCAGACATTGCATCAAAGGCAGCTGGATCTTACCCCCATGAGGTTTCTCCTGGTTCCTCTGCCTGCTTTTTCAGGAAGCCAGTCAGAACCCTCCAGCTCCCCAGGGTCAGAGAGCAGCTCCTGTATAGATGGCCTGTGAGCCATGGTAAAATCTATGTATTGTATAAGTGGCCTTAACCTGATCCTAGTTGTTCTAAATGGGCTGCAGCTGCAGCTATGATGTCCTTAATTGGGTGGCAGCTGTGACTGGTGAAGATAACTGGGATAAAAAGGGGGTGGGTTGGCCAGTCAGGGAGAGCCTTGGAGCCAGGGAGAGCCTCCCTTCCTGTGGCACTTGGAGTATTTTCCTTTCTCCCTTCTCCTTTGATTTCCAAGCACCAGGGAGCAACAGGTAATTCTGTCCTTCAGTTGCTCTTTCCCTGATCCCACAATACCCCAATTTTTCTTTTTCCCACCTCAGCACCAATTCCACTGCTTCCCTGCTTGCTCAGGAAGTATTTTAGATACTTTTTCTTCTCTTCCACTTTTCAAATTTGCCTTTGCCTTTCCTATGCAAGCATTTAGCTGTCATCTCCAGACCCTCATCTATTCTACTCCCCTCTTCCCTGTTTTTCAGATTTCACTCCCCAATATAGATTACTTTCATAAACCTCATCCCCTATGAGAGGGCTGTACTCAAATTCCTTTGGTCACTTTCTGTTATTTGTGGCTAAGCAGAGTTACAGCCTTTGTTTTCAGGGAAAAAGGAAAATGCAGGGTTTACCTCTCTCAGGAGATACTTCAGGGCACATTGGGCCTCCTGGGTGGTGGCGATGCTGTCCCAGCACTGTTTGGCCCAATCTCCATTGTCTGCATCCAGGGGCTTGTGCTGCAGATCTGCTATCTGGGCACTCCTGGGGAAGAATCCATGGATTTGGGTTGACAACAGAGGAGAAAAACATGGCTGGTTTCTGGGCTAGTGTTAATGTTCCCAGAATATTAAGTAATATAGTATAAACTGAGATTTTTTTGCTGCTCAGTAGAGCACCTGGAGCCTGCCTTGTTTCCCTGTGGAGTTCTGCCTCCACTCCACATTCCCAAATAGAAGTGGAGGTTTTTCCCTCAGAGGTGCTCACTAACAGCTCAAAACACCCAATCTAAATGCCTGAGTATTTTCCCCACATTTTGGAAAAATTCCAGCCAGGAAAACCCACTGAAAAGGGTTTGGGGGTTTCACCCCCTGGAAAGCCATTTTCAACTTGTTTGGTCAGTTTGCCATTAGATACTTGGCCAATACCAAAAACCATTCCTCCATCTTTTACAGTTTGCTCTAAATCCCTCTGATGGATGGGGTGTTGTGGCCAAATTTCTTCCTGAAGCGTCCTTTGAACCCCGAGAATAGGAAATTCTTGGTTGTGTGAAAATGGACTTTTGTATCAAATTTGGCCTTTTTGGGCTTGAACAAAACAAAGACAAAACTTCAGATGTCACCCTGTGTATAAAGATGCAGATTCTTGGTGTATTTATACCTCAGCTCTGTTTTCAGTTACAATTTTCCGTGGGAAATGTTTTTCATCTGTGGAGACAGAGCTTGGCCACCCATTCCACCAAACACCAAAAGTGCTCCAGGTAGCATTGGAAGGCTTTCCATGCTGACAGCCAGTGTAAATATGATTAAAGACCACAGATGCAGAGGAAAAAGGTTTGTCCATCAGTATGATTCAGACGGTAAAGGCGATTTTGATTCTTGGAACTTTGGAAAGAGATTTTCAGCATCTGTATTTTCACCCCAATTTGCATTGGCAGTGGCTCTAAAACAATTAGATGGGTTAGGGTGCTGGTTAAGCAAGCAGAGCAATGCAACTTGTACTGGGTGAAAAGGCTTTCCCTCATCATTGCAGTGTCAGTCTGTGTGGATGAGCACTGCGGCAGTACCTTACCTGAGCTCCATCTCTGTTTGCAGGCTCTCAATCTGTTGGAGACAGAGAGATCCACGTCCAGAGCCTGTAGCTCAGCCGGGCAGTCTGTGCGCCTCTGCAAGCACAGGGCACAGGGATGCAGGGCAGCAACAGGGGAGGAAATCACACTTTTACAGATATTCCAGCCAGGAAAGCCTCCAGGCATCTCCCCACAGCTTCTGTTCCACTGTTCCTCCCCAGAAGCCTGTGCTAAGGGAAGTGAGCCACTCGCATCCCTCAGAATCCTTGAGGTTGGAAAAGCTCCCCCAGAGTGTTGAGTCCGACCATTCACACAACGCTGATGGGTCACCCGTGTCCCCAGGTGCCACCTCCAGATGGTTTTTGGATGCTTCCAGGGATGGTGATTCCAGCACTTCCCTGAGCAGCCTGTCCCAAAGCTTGGCTGCCTTTTCAGGAAAAAAAAATCCCAAATTCCGTTAAGTAACAAGTTCCTTCAGCACCTCTTGTCCCTGACATTGAGAGGATAAAGATATTAACCCTTTCTCCCAGCAAGGATGGGATCCATGCCCACCTTTGGAGGGAACATGTTGGTCAAGAAGGAGAGAGAAGAATGAATCCAGTACTGCTGAAAGGCCAGAGGAGTGGGATGGGAAAAGGGGAATTTCCACCTTACCCGCAGGTTTGGACGGGGGTTTTCTCCAGCATCTTTCTTCTCTTCCAGCTGGTTTGCCAGGATTTTCCTGTCCTCCAGCAGGTCTGCCAGGTGTCTTCGAGCTTCCTCAGTGCTGACAAGAACCTCAACTTCGTTTGCAAGCCGGCTCTGGAAAAATAACCTCCAAAACCCAGTGGTTGAGCTCAACTTCAGGACTGAATCCTTCTGAATAATCCCATTGCAATTCTCTGGTCCTCCTGCTGTGCTCCATCCACCAAGGCCATCAGCACCCACCCCAAATCCCAGTTTGCCCAGTGTAGGGATGCAAAACCACTGTTACCCACTTCGACTTGTGCAGCAATTCCTTTTGTGCCCTGATTTTGGCTCTTTTTTTCATTTATCTGCCACCTCCTTCTGCTTCTGCAGGGCATTATTGAAGTGTTCGTTGGCAGCTGCTGCCTGGAAAAGATTCCACAAGGAGCTGAACAGGGACTGCAAATTATTTGCTACTGCTGGAAACACCAGGGATTCCCAGCCCAGGGCAAACACTGGGACAGTGACAGCACAAGGTTAATAAATCTCAAGTTATCCTGGTTTAACTCAAGGATTCTTGCCTTTATTTCCTTTGCTGCCATTCCTCCTTTAAAAGGAAAGCTCCTTCTATGCCTGAAGGTAGAAGAAGACACCCAAAATGAGAGGATGAAGATTAATTTCTTCTACAAATCCTGAAAGGATTCTGAACTTCAGCCTTGCAGATCCACCACCCAAACTCATTCCCCACTTCCTACCTTGGGCATCTGCATTGCCCCAGGAGCCTGGGCCCCTGAGCCACCTGGCCCCTTAAGGAGCAAATTTAATGGGATCCCTCAAAAGCAGAAATGGGGATTTATCTACAGAGAGAATTTATTTTTTTCCCAGCCTCTTAACTTCCTTTCACAGGTTTCTGTGTATCCTGTTCCTTCCTCCAGCCCCACTTGGCCGACTTTAGGGATCGGTTGGGATTTCCAGGAGATGTTGGCTCCTCACCTCCTCTGTTTTGTGCCGGAGGACGTTGGCCTGTTCTGAAACCTCTCTCCAGCTTGAGGAGCTCATATTGTCTCTTACAGTCCTGCAAGGAGAAACAGCTGCAAGAGTCACATTTTCCATGACAAAGGAAAAGGTTGCAGCCCCAAAATTCCAGCCTGGGCACCCCAAGGCAGCAAGGGGCAGGAATTGCTGTGGCACTCCAGGTGTTTGCTGGCCATTGCACTCAGCAGCTGGATTTTATTGACCTGCAGAGCCAACGTTCCTTTGGAAGTTTAAAAACCTCCCATGCTGAGGCCAAACCCCATAACTGTAAATCCTTAAAATATTGACGGATTTTGCTTTCTGCTTCAGAACAGAGTCACAGCTGTGGCGAGAGCTTGAAGAACTCCAGGCACAAACAAGTTCAAGTGGTTCAAATGGCAGCTACATGAGTCAAGCTTCTTTCCAAAGCATTCCCAGCTCTTCTAAGACACTTCCCAGTTAAAGAAACCTTTCAGCAGCTGTTTGGAGGGAGGAATCGTGTGAAGGGCTTGTTTGCTCACCTTTTCCTTCAGCTGGATCACCTCCTCGTCCTTCTGCTGCTTCCACTGCCTGAATTTCTCAGTGTCCTCTTTCATCTGATGCATCAGCTGCACCCTTTGCTTCTTCATCTCCTGAAAGACACCAGTGGCTGGAAGAATTATCCAGGATTTACATCCTAAAGAGCTTCAACCTCCATTTCCCCCTGTGCCTGCCAGGTGTGGGGAGTGGAAGATGGGAAATCTTGCTGTGCTCCCACACTCAGGACACTCTCAAAGTGCTAAAATACAGGGATTTTTTCTGGCACAAAAGGAAGACCAACAGGCACAATTCAGGGAAAATCAAAGAGGAATCAAATTATTTGACTGAGGCAATAAATTAGAAATGCCAGAAGATACTTTGGACTAATTTTCCTACCAAATCTCACCAGTCACATGCCTATTGTGGTCATGTAACCATAAGAATCTTGCCAAAAACCGCTATTTTCAGTCTGAATAAACAGAAATTGGAGTCCTGAATGGGACACCTGTCAGGGATTTCTGGGATTCCTACCTGGGAGCTGCTTTGCCCACACTGGCTCAAGTCAGAGGTGCCTGTTGGTTACCCTGATCTCCTGGTTCAGTTTGGATACCATGTGCTGTGTGGATTCCTTCAGCTTCAAGAGCCTGGATTGCTCATTCAGCTTCTTCTTGAGCTCAGTAATTTGTGCTTCCAGCTCCTGGAGCCTTTTCCAGCGCTGCTCGCTCAGTCTGGAGAGGAACAGCAACAAATCCAAATGTCACCTCAGTCACCTCTGCTGCTGCTGAAAGCCCACAGGAGGCTTCTCTGCAGCTCCTGGCCCATTAAAGGGACATTTTTACACCAAAAAAGAGTTTTTACACATCATGGAAATGCAAGACATTGGATTTTCAGACACACTGACAACCCCCAAAGCTTCAGGCAGAGCCCTCTTACTTGGCCTGGTTGATGTCCTTCTTTGCTATTTGCAGAGCAAGAACCAGCTCCTCCTTTTCCTCCTGCAAGTTGCTGACCTCCAATTCCAGATCCCTTGGAAAGACACTCTGAGACAAAGCTTTAAGACTGAGAAACTGTGGGAACTCAGGACATCACTGCAGATGTCCAGAGTTACTGAGACAACCCTCGGGGGGCCTGGAAATCCTGGAATGTTGCCAGGAGTGCTTGGTGGTTGGATTTTGACCCTGCACGGGTTGTACCCCCTGTTTGAGGATGAGAGAATCACTTGGGGATAAATGGTGTAGGAATTAATTATTCACAGGGTGAAAATACAGATTTTAGGATTTTGGTACAGGGGGGTTGTGGAGACAAGATGGAGGGATCAGGGCGTGTCTTGTCCTTCTTTCTTCTTCTTGTCGTCCATTTTCTGTGGTGATGTTGGCACTTTGGGATTGGTTCATGGTGAAGGTGCACTTGCTAATATGAGTGAAAGGTATTGGGAAATAAAGGTAGATATGATATATGTAGTTTTTAGTATAAAAATAGATGACCACCCAGTGGGAGGTCAGAGTGCCCTTGGCTGCCTTGCTGGTCAGACCTCTGTCATGCTGGAAGAAAATTTTGTACATAAGAAATAATAAACAATACTGAAGACTGAAAATCTGAAGAGTGCAGACTCGTCCTTTGGAGCGTGGGCTGTGCCAAAGCCATCCTGTGTGTGACCGGGCAGAGACAAAAGCCAGACTGGTCAAGAAACCTGGAAAAACCCTGTTGCTTCACAGCAGGCTGCTGAACCACCTCATCTCAGAGCAGTGTGAGGGTCACAGAGGCTGGCCCAGCACACTCTGGAGCTCTGGTGGGCACAGAGTCACTGGGGCTACAGCCTGACTGAAACATTCCAGAGATGGGAGATCCTAGCACAGCAGGGAACACTGCTTATGGAATAAACCCAAACCAGAACAGGCTCCTGAGGACACACTCCTCCCTTCCCTCCCCATTGGGGAAAACAAACTGAGCTTTACCTGGTGCTGGGACTGGATGGGCCCAAGCTGAATGTAATTTTGAGACTTTTTTTGGCCATAGCCTCTTTCAGAGTCAGAGCTTTGTGGAGCTCCAGCAGCTCCTTGGAGAGCTGTGCCTGGCACAGGGCTGTCACAGACATCTTTTGTGAAAAATCCTTTCTTTAGGATTTTTCCCCCTTCTGAGAAGCTGTGGCCTCAGCAACAAAATGTAAACAATGGCAATCTGCTGCTGTGGGATGCAACAGGTGGATCTGTGATTGGTCTCCTGTGGATGTTTGGATTTACTGACCACTCACAGCAGAGCTGTTCTTGCTTTCTGCCTGGACACAGAACTTTGTTATTCATTCCTTTTCTATTCTTAGCTAGCTAGCTTCTGAGAATTTTTCTCTCTATTCCTATTAGCATAGTAATAATGTGATATATAGCATAAAATAATAAATCAAGCCTTCTGAACATGAGGTCAGCATTCTCACCTCTCTCTTCACCCTGAAAAACCCTTGCAAGCCCTGCAACACAGGGCGTGTTGGGTGCTGAAAACAGAGGCTCTCTTGGATTCCCACTTTGCTCCCTGCAGGAGACACAGACATGAGGAGAGGCCAGTCCAGAGCTCCTGAATTACATTATTTCCACAGAGCACTTCATATTCATTTTTATGTAAAAAAATCAAATCTTCAGAAATGAGAACAAGTCTTGAGCGTGAACATATTGAGGTTGAAGCGGCACGGACAAGGGTGATGATTTATCAAGCATTTGGGTTAGAAAATGAGTAGGAGGGAGCAGATAAAAGTGGTGAGGAGATAAAACCATGCCCCAGTGAGGTGTGCACTGCTGAGCCCCTCACACCTGGAGAATCCTGTTCAGAGTTTGGCAGCTCTGCAGCAGCTTCTGTGACTGCAACGCTTTCACTCTGGTGGACAGAGAGAAGAAAATTTGGGCGAAAAGGGAATTATGAAATAAAATGAAGGAAANTATTATATTATGCCTTCTGAGAACTTGGAGTCAAATTCTCATCTCTCACCTCATCCTGGGACCCACAGCACCACAACACCTGGCTGCTGGGACATTTGGGGCCCCCCTCCTGCCCTTGTCACTCTGTGTTCCTCCTTGGCTTGTGTCACATAACACAGCAGAAAGTTTTGCAGACAGTGGGAGGCCACCTTTGGGTTGGAAAATCTGGCTGGTGTCACCATTTCAAAGAGGTCCTGACATGCCTTTCCTCCTCCCACCTCCTTTCTGTTTGTTTTACTTCATGGGCACAAAACCCACAGGAAATTTTAAAAGAGCAAGAGAGGTCAGCATGGAAAGGACAACAGAGCTCATGGAAATAAGGTTTTTCACATTTATGGAGCTCCTAGAGAAATTTATCCATTTATCCAGCTCTTAGAGAAATAAACCAGCCTGACCTGCTGATGGCGTATTGGTGCTGGCAGAACACTTTCAACAGAGTTAGACTGTCTTGGAAGCAATCAGCAGTCTTCACATTGTAAGAAGATGCAATTTATAAACAAGTTGTCACCAAAAAATATAAAATCTCATTTAAGAGTGAAATTCTGACACTCAACCAGTTAATCTGCAGTGATTGTTCAAATTTTGGCAGGACTCCACCCTTACCCAAGCCTGCTGAAGCTGCATGATGACACTGGGCCTCAAAAAGGACTTCTGTGTGCAAATTCAATATATTTGTGGTTCCTCTCACATATGTCAGTGTATATTTCATTACATGCCTTTCTTTCAGCCTGTGACTCACTCCCACACAGTGATGGTTTTTTACAAATGTGTCAAACAATAATCAAACAGAAAAAACAATGCTTCTCCTCAGTTCAGGGTATCAAGAGAAATGCATTTATAAAAGCAAGTAAAATAAATATCTCTCTGAACTCCAGCTTCAGACACTCCATTTTCCTTTGATAATGATGAAGATTTCATAAGATTATTCCAGACTCAGTCATAAAAACAATATTGCTTTGGCTTTTTTTCCTCCCTCCAGGAGTAATAATACATCTGAACTTCCGTTTCAAAAACTCAGTATTAACATGAGACTGCTACACAGGCTTCTTAGCAGAAAATATGTAGAGAAAAATATTTATTCTGCTCTTCTGATCTTTCTGGTTTTCACAGGTCTGAACAGCAGGAATGAGTGATAATAAAGGTCAAAATGTCTTCCTTAGAGAAAACCTGTTCAAGCTTTACAACCTGTGTGGGAAAAGAAACAAAACAGCCATTTACCAGGAAAATACTGGATTTGCCACTTCAAGACAGACAGGCTTCAACAGGGTGGAAACCAGGACATTAATTCCTGATTGCTTCATTGCACAACTGAGGACATCATCCTTAGGCTGTTCAGCTATTTAACTTCTAATTAATCTCAGAGAGATGGATATCTGTCTAACAATCTGCTGGAGCATGGGCAGGACAGGGGGAATACCAAAATTGCTTTAATATCTACTTGGCAGAGTCTTGAACTTGTTTCCTTATTAAAAAAGTATATTTAAAAAAGAAAAATGTCAGTTTATCCTAAACATAACACAAAGTGGAGGATGAGCCTGTTGCAGTTAGGAAAATATTGAGTTGTTGCACTGTAGAGATAAAAGTTTAAGCTCCTGTGCTTAGGATATCTTGCAGGGTTTTCATGGACAGAGCACACCCTGCACCTCCTGTAGGGCTGAAAACTCTGTGTACAGGTGGTAAATTCTCTGAAACCTACTGAAAGGATGAAGAAAAGACCTACACAGTTTGCCTTAAAAAATCCTGTGTACAACTGAAAGCTAAAGACACATTAGCGTCCTTAGCTAATGTTCCAAGTGCTTCTCACCACCTTCACCACAATCAAGATCAAGGAGCAGAATGCCTGGATCCATCACTCCCGAGTGAAGAAGGCCCCAGGAGCCCCTTGGAGAGTGACACCAGGAGACAATGAACTGAGATTAAGCTTACTCAGACAGAATGAATATATTGTGGCCGGGGTTAGTTTGTAAATTTTATTTACAGACTTGTTTTGTATATAATTATAACTGGAGTCTTAGAATTACAGAGTACCTCTATCCAAAGCAATGCTGAATGGCCTTGGTCCCCGGCGTTTAAACTGGATCCATGGGAGGACCTTCTGAGATAAAAGATTTAAACCTATGCACTGTAGTAATTCACGGGGGTCAGGTATATGAGAAGCAGGAGTGGCAGGAACGAGATCTGTGGAAACTTGAAGAGATCAGGAGAGAAGAAATCAAAGTAGGGTGCTGGGTGGTCAATGGGACGGCTTATGAGAGACCAGATGCAATTAGTGTCTCAACCTCTCCCGTACACAGGCACCAGGAAGTTTGTGATAGCCCAAGTGAATCAGACTGTCGGTGTAATTTCACCTTGATACAGCCTGTAGAAGTATTTTTAGGCTCAGGATGCTATCAGGCTCTCATTTAAATTTAAAATGGACACTGCACTTTTTACAACAGCAGGACCTTATACAGCCCACACTAGTAATCAAATAGTTCAGACCCAACCCAAACTTGAACCTGAGGTGTATGAAATAGGCCCCTACGTAGTGAGGAATGTGGGTGAACAACAACTGTTATTCAATCCAGAATGGTCTATCAAACGTGTGGAGTTGATGATGCAAATTAACATCTCAAAAATCCAACCAGCCTGCTCCTCCTTCCTAAAAACATCCTTTGAGGGCTGGACAACGTGGTTACAAAGATAAGTGTACCTCAGGAGAAGAAAAGGAAAAGATCTAACTGAGATATTAAGGACAGGACTGAGAGTTTTTATATGGAATTGATTCAGAAATACGGATGAATAAGCTGGCCACTGGAGCAGGTGGCCTAACAAAATTGAAGCAGCCTTTACAGTCATCTCTATTGGCATTAGGAACTAGCCAGTGGCAAATTTCAAAAGTATTGCCAAAGTAAGGAAGTATGAAAAGGCTGAGGACCAAGACCACAAGTTAATAGTAGAAGCACTTAGTACAGTTCAAGATAATGTGTCTTTAGCTTTCAGTTGTATACAAGCGGAGTTATGCATACAAGCAACAGCAGCTCTGATCATACGGGAGGGGGGGTGAAGGTAATTTTCCAGCTGAAATTCGGAAAATTGAGTGGGATAATGCAACTGATTTTGAAAGGAAGTTTCAATCCTGGTGGACTATGGTGAATTTCACCTGTGATCCTGCTTCTAATGTGGCCACTGCCTTTGTGCTCACCATATGTAATGCCACTGTTTATGTTATCCATCCCATCATTGCCCTAGGATTAAACCATGAAAAAACAATACTCTACCCTTCAGAACATAGAGTGTGGGCACGAAAGATGAATGAAAAGTGGCAGACAGTAAACTTAGAGTCCTGCATTACTAGAGAGCAGATGGGATTCATTTGTGAAAGCAATACTATTAATGCCCAAGATGTGTGTCTAGATACTGAACAGAGTATTTGCCACTTTGAAATTCATCCAGTCACTGACCAGAAAACTGTGCTCGTATATACTGGAAAAGGGGGGTGTATGCCTGAGAACTGCCTGTGCTGCTGGAAAAATTGATACCAATGATGTTATTTTGTCTAGTAAAAATAATTCTAATTTCTGTATTAGTAATTTTGTTAAGATTATCAGGTGTGATTTTTCGTACATGGCCCCAGTGACATCCCACCAGTTGATTGAAACCAATTACACAATGTATCACAGACTATCACCTACCCCTATTGGGATGGACCTTATATTAGTAAAACAATTAATTAAGCACCAAGACCTACTAAAGATCTTGAAGAAAAACCCAAGGAAGCAGAGAGAACTGTCCAATGTGATACAAAAAGAAATAACTAGAATTCTGCAAAGAATAAAACAAAATGCAAATCATCACTGGTGGGATGTGGTCTTTATATGGTGACCAACTACAAACAGAATCCTTAATAAGTTGTGTCATCCTACTGTAGTTTTGTTAATATTAGTTAGACTAAAGAACTAGTGGTAAAAGTCACACGCAACCCATAAAAATGAGTATGTATGAACCTATTGTAAAACTGTATGCATATGTATTTGAGAGAGAGATAAAAAGAGACCTGAAGTTCTCAGAGGTACGCATGCCTTTTTTGAGGAGAGCAATCTCAGCATGTGTCCAGCGCTGTAATAAACATACCAACTTAACAACTTTGACAAAGTTGTAGGGTTTTCTTCTTTTCTCCCCAAAACAGCTGGGAACGCCCACCTGGAAAATCACCTCCATTCACTCCAGGAATTTCACAGGAAAAATTCTTACCCCTCCCTGGCCCCAACATGCAACTATTTACAGAGACATAACAAAGAAAGAAGCAGTTTGGCTCCCTTGCTGAGGGCAGGAGCTGCTGCTCCAGGAGGAGAATCCAACTCCCTCAAAAGTCACCAGGAGTGTGTCCTAAAGGGATGGGAAAAGCTCCAGGACAGGTAAACTACTCCTTGGTGGGGGTGCAGCCTGAAAAGAAGCTGATGTTTCTGCTCAGCATCCCCTTCCTCGTCCTCCCAAAGGGGTTCTGGTTCTCCTGGGACGACTCATTCCTCAGGGAGGCAGCAGTGCTGGGAATCTTCAGGAGCACCTCCTGCTCTGTGAGGTCCTGCAGGCCCTGGGGGAAAGCAAGGGACAATCTTTGGAGTTAGTAACCCACCAGAGGCAGCAGGACACCAAGTGCCAGGCCAACCTCAAGAGTTGCTTTTTTTACTCAAGTCAGGAAAAAGACAAAATTTTTGACGAAATATGAAGATGCAGCAGGAAGAGACAGCAGTTGGAATAGTGGGAGATATGAGATAAGGGGATTTGTTTAGCTGAGGTGAAATGAGATGTGCCAGGTCAGAGAGGTCACTTTGAACATGAACAGACAGAATTTTATCCTGCAAACTCCTCACTTCCCCTCTCTCCTTGCTGAAGGTGCTGCAGGAAAACGTGGCAAGCTCGTGGCATCACTTCAGTGTGGGAACTGAGGAATTCAGCACACTCTCAGCTTCCACACGAGCTGCCTGGAGCTGTGCAGAGTTTTCCAGCAGCAACTTCTCCTCTGGGGTGATGTCCCTCCAAGACCCTCACTCAGCAGCTCTGCTCTGCCCTGGGAATACCCTGGTGGTGGGAGTGATAGACACAGGCTGGAAGAAGCTCTCCTCTTTCACCTCCGTGGGTCTTCCAGCTTCAAGGACTCCTCTGAGTCCCTTTTGTGCTCCTCACATGTTGTGGTTTCCCAAGGGGCAGCAGAGGGTGAATCTCTTGCAGAGCATCCATCCCTTCCCTTCCCACCACAGCCCCCTGCTCTCCGGCTGGGAAGTTTTCCACAATACAGGATGCTGCAGCTCAGACTAAGATAAAATAGGCAACAATTAGAGCACTGTGGGAAGCCCCTGCTCCACATCTCTGAGATCCAAGAGCAAAATTCCCACTTGGAACGTCAGTTTCTCATGGACCTTCCTGCTCCTCCCCCACACCATCCCTTCCATTCTTAAAAAGAAATCTAGGAATGAGTCAGGGTTTTGTGTTGTCTGAAGCCAAAGACAAAACTTTAATTTACTTAGTCCAAAAGGAAAAATGGAACTTTTTATCCTCAGATTTGTGGATGAGAAGTGGGAACACGAAAATCTTTGCTGTGAATCTCCAAAATTCTGTCCTGAAATGCAGAGTCTGCTCCTGCAGCGGAAAATTTTCCTCAGTTACCAGAGGGGCACTAATTAGTGACATTCACAGAGTTTCAGCAAAGTGCACCTGCTCTGCCTGGACAAACTAGACTTGTGTGGGAATTANGGAACTTCCCTTCCCTTCCTGGAACTTCCCTTCCCTTCCTGGAACTTCCCTTCCCTTCCCTTCCTGGAACTTCCCTTCCTGGAACTTCCCTTCCTGGAACTTCCCTTCCTGGAACTTCCCTTCCCTTCCCGGAACTTCCCGGAACTTCACTTCCCTTCCCGGAACTTCCCTTCCCGGAACTTCCCTTCCCTTCCCAAGCAGCACAACTGGCCTTTCTGCAGCATTACAGCACACCAGGACATTTTTGAAGTGGATCTCAAGAGTCATTTCACATTTTAATTTCTGGGCTCCTTGAGGGAAGATGTTGGAGTGGAATCCCAGATTTCCTGGGATTGTTGTCACAGTTCCCCTGGGTTCAGCCTTACCTGCAGCTCAGCCAGCACCTGCTGCAGGTTCCTGATCACCTCCACATTTTCCTTGAACCCCTCATCTTCCACAGTGTCCACCAGCTTCTGCAGATCCAACTTGCACCTGGAAACATGCTGAGTTTGTGCCAGGGAAGAGCAACCTTCCCCACTCAAACTCTGAATTAATTCTGGAGGAACAAACTCCAGCTGATTGGACCCAGTTCATCCCACTGAAAACACTGAATTCCCAAGCACGTTATCCCAGGACAAGGGTGTGGGGACACTTACACAGCATGGTGCTGGAGCTGCTCTAGTTTTGCATTCATCTTCTCATTTTCTTACTCTGTCTAGAGAAATCGGAATTGTAGAAGATAAGAAGCCATAAATCAGCTGATTAATTTGCAGTAAGAGATTGGCAGTGTGAAAATCAATGCACTGAAAGATGTTTCCTGGTCAAGGCCAGTTTGGATTTCACAGCATTTTTTCAGGGATAGACACTACAGGCAATAAGAAAAAAGCAGGGTGGGGAAGGGAGAGCGCAAGTGTGCAAGTGCTATTTAAAATATTAAAACAAAATATTTAAAGTATTTAAAGAGCTGAAAGATTCAGCTGAAGATTTTTCTAAAAGGAAACTAAAGACTAACAGATTCAGGCAGCTTTTTCATTCTGACTGGTTTGGAATCAACATGAAAGGATCACTTAAGAGAGATTCTCACTATGTCATAAATACTGGAGCTGCTGTTGATTCACTCCCAGCAATTTAGAGCTCTCCTGGGATAACGAACTTACCAGGATGATCATCACTCAGCCCCTGGCTCAGCTTCTGGTTCTCCTCCTGCAGGGATGGGTTCTTCTCCATCAGGGATTGGCACCTCTCTGAGGGGGCCAAACCACTGCAACAGCAAGGAGCAGCTGGGTGTGAGTTTGGGCTTTGGGACAGCACTGAAGTCACCTCCAAAATTATTATTATTGCTTAAATAATTTAAAAGAAATAGCCCATAATGGTTTGGGAGGGAAGGATCTTAAAGCTCATCCAGCTCCACCCCTGCCATGGGCAGGAACACCTTCCACAGATCAGGCTGCTCCAGGGTCAGTCCAAGCCTTGGACACGTCCACAATGCAGGAAAAACCTCCAAAGAGAGGTTGTGAACTCCATGTCCTTGGTTTTGGAACATTCCCATGTGGAGAAATAGTAATGTGACAAGGACCCAGCTAATCTGAGTCCCTGCAGCTGCAAAACAGTGTGGCCCTGAGCATAGCTGTGGTACGATAACAAGGTTGAGAGAGACATGAGAAAAAGGAGATATAAGTCCTAAGGAATGAGGAAGAGCTGATATTTGTAGTATAACCAACAGACTGCTTGGCTTACAGAATATGTATGAGCTTATTATTTGTTGTGCATGAATGTCTGATGCCCTCATCAATAAATGAAGCTTGCTGATCACTCATATTGAGCGTCCAATCTTCCCTCACCATGACATTCCCAGAACACAACACCTGCACAGTCCAACTCTGTCCCAGATTTGGTGCTTTTAAGGATAATGGACGTGGAACTGCCACACGTTTAGTGGTAGAGGGGTGAGGAGAACAGGGATGGAGGGGTCTCAGAGGCAGGAATTTATTCAGGAGGTGTTTCCTGCTTCCTCTTTTACTTCCTGCAACAGATTTTTGCAATCATGAGGTGTTTGCCACAAAACTAAATATCCCATGGAATTCCAGTAAGGATGACAAAAAGAGGGGAGAAGAAGAAACAGGTTTGTTTCCCCCTCACTCCACAGCACTGTCTGAGGCTAAGAGATCCAGAGACTTCTCTGGAGTGTGACAAATACACATCCAGAGCACGTTAAATAACAAATCTTACTTGAGAGCCACAGCCATGGTCCCTCCATGGGCATGGAGCAGCAAAACCTGGAGCTGCTGGAGCTGCAAAGACAAATAATGATTGCTTGTAAATGTAGCAGCTCCATGGACCCTTGGTCTTCCTCACTCCCCTGGTCCATAATTCCCCTTTTACCACTGCCTGGGGAAAGGAGTGGTGTTGTTACTGTACTTCAAATTATTTATTCTTCAAATATATGCCTCAAAAAGTTCTTCACTTCCCTCTGGGATCACCCCAGGAAAACCTCTTCCCTTTCCCTTGTGCTGGGCACAGGCAGGAGATGTCAGGAGGGCACCAAACCATCTCTGTATTTTTGATTGTGCCTGTAGCTCACCAGGCGAAATTTAAATTACAGTGGCACCATCACTTTTCTCTGGCTGCAGAAACACTCAAAAAAAAATCCACACATCCACTTCCCACCACCTCCAGAGACAGAGCAATGCACATTAGGGATGTTTTGCTACCTACTCCAGCCACCCAGACTTAAAGGACACTCCTTTAGATGATGCAGAGACCTGGTTCACTGACAGGAGCAGCTACATTGCCAGTGGAAAGTGACATTGCAAAGTTCACAGTGACTACCTGCAGAGAGGTAATGGAGTCTGGACCCTTAGCAGCAGGTACCTCTGCACAGAAGGCTGAGATAAATGCATTGACCCATGCCTTAGAAACAGCAAAAGGAAAAGAAAATAAACATCTATACAGACTCGAGGAATGCATTCAGAGTCGTGCATGCACATGGAGCCATGTGGAAGGAAAGGGGACTGCTGACCTCACAGGGAAAGAAGAGACAATCCAGCTGCTGGAAGCAGTTCAGCTGCCTGAAAAAGCATATTAAGGCACACCAGAGAGTGAGCTCAGAATTGGAGGAAGGAAATGAGCTGGCGGATGGAGAGGCAAAGAAAGCAGCAAAGGGTGAGGTACAGATTTTTCTTCGAAGGTAAGCCATAATACAATAATACTAATCAAAAGAGACGTACAACTGCAAGGGGTGCGTACCATTGAAAGAGAGCTAGTAATTCCTTCCCATTTTCGTGGTTACTGGTGAAGGAAGGGCACTAGAAAACACACTAGGGCCTAACTACTTAAAAGCTTTTATAGAGTGTTGCTCCTTTCTCAAAATGACCAAGGCTGCCAGTGATAGAGAGTGCATTGAAATAAAGTGTTGACTTTTAAGTAGTAGTTTCCACAGGCTTTCTAGAACATACATCTGATTGAAAGAGTAATTACCAGGAACTGGTATGCCACTGTTACTCTGGTAAACCAACAGTGTGATCCTTGCCCCCAGACTAACCCTAAAATACCCCCCGGCTGAAACTCGGTCAGACTGGGAGAGGCCATGGGCCTGCACAGCAGTGGCAAATCAACTTTTCAGAACTCCCAAGGAAAGGGGGGTGTCAGTATTTAGTGATATTGGTATTGATAGATACATTTTCAGGGTGGCCAGAAACATTCCCCACCAGAACTGTCAAAGCTCAAGAGGTGACCAGGGTATTATTACAAGAAGTAATACCACACTTCAGAGTTCCAGCCACAATAACCTCGGGTAGAGGATCACATTTCATTTCCAAAGCAGTGCAACAGATTAGTGGCCACCTGGGCATAGATTGAGAACTTCACACTCCATACTGCCCCCAATCAAAAGTAGAGAAAATGAATTATTAAATTAAGCAGCAAATTTTAAGACTAGGGCAAGAAGTTAATCTACCCTGGCCCCAAGATCTTCCACTGACACTATTGCAAATTTGAACTAAACCTCAGGCTAAAGGAAAGCCGAGTCCTTTTGAAATGCTTTATGGAAGACCATATGGAATACAAAAGGGAATGTCCACCCACACTGGGGTGATAACACTGGACACCTGCATGGTGGCTTTAAGCAAACAGCTCAGAGAAACTGAGAAACTCGTGGCTGGAACTCGGAGCAGAGAGCTAGACGGACCAGTACATAACATACAGTCTGGAGATTATGTATATGTTAAGCCTCTTGCAGAAAAGACTTTGGAATGATCCCTTTCACATGGTGACACATGTGACCATGTTCACAGGGGTCTGAGGATGAGGGAAGGGACAAGGATCTGACTCCATGTTTCAGAAGGCTGATTTATTATTTTATGATATATATTACATTAAAACTATACTAAAAGAATAGAAGAAAAGGTTTCATCAGAAGGCTAGCTAAGAATAGCAAAAGAAAGAATGATAACAAAGGCTTGTATCTCGGACAGAGAGTCCGAGCCAGGTGACTGTGATTGGCCATTAATTAGAAACAACCACATGAGACCAATCCCAGATCCACCTGTTGCATTGCTAACCATTGTTTACATTTTGTTGCTGAGGTCTCTCAGCTTCTCAGGAGGAAAAATCCTAAGGAATAGATTTTCCATAAAAGATGTCTGTGACACACACACGAACCTCCTTCCTGCTGTTTTCTCAAAACTCTTGTTCCTTTTAGGCATCGTGGTCTGGAAAACACCATTCTTCCTAACTTCTTCATCACGACCAGAAGGGCAGTTAATAAATATTTTTAATGCTGAATGGCATCTTCATTTACCCAGGAAAGGACAGAGCCTCATACAACAAACACTGAGTGCTGATGGTTCCTGTTGCTGTTTAGTTCACAGGAGGTGCTCAGCATCTGCTGGGGCTGGGTCTGAAGGGATCCGGGCTCATTGCTGCAGTTTGTCCTAATTATGGGATATTTTCAGCAGAAAGTCAGCACTGGCAGGCAGATGTTTGACAAGGATATAATCTAAGCAGACGTTTCTTCTCCTAAAGGTACAAACAAACAGCACAAAGCAAAAATTTAGGTTACATTGCATCATTAGAGCTGAGAGGGATCCTCCTTCTCAAGTCACCTCCCTTGTGCCATCCAGGCAATCCCCTGCCTCAAAATTGAGCTAATTGAGAAAGAATGACTTGAAGAGAAGCTATCCCCACCTCTCCTTGCCAGTCTGTCATTTTTTAAGCCTGTAATTTGTTACGCTAAATTTGCTGTCCTGTCTGACGTGCAGGGTTTTAAGAATTAAAAAAAAGATAATGAAATAACCAAGACAGAGAGGATGGGGAGAACATGAAGCCTCTGCAGAATATGACTTTTATGATATATATTTTTTTAATTCTGACGGTCTGGAAGACATTCCTGCCTGGCTTAACCTCTCTGGCATGGTGACAAGGACAGGCTGTGATCACACGTGTCCACCATGCCATGAGGAGCACATGATGTTCCAGGGGCTGATTCCTGTTCCAGGCAGCCCAGGACAGGCCTCAGACCCTAACAACTGCAAAAAAAAAAAAGCAATTTCCCCCCCTCCATACCTTGCTTTTAGTGCAGGCTTCTACAAAAAGCTAGTCTAAGCAATGAGTTTCATAGTTTTGTTCTCAGCCTTTGGATGTGACGAGTGAAATTCACATAAACCCCGGTGAAGAAGTGATTTTTCTGCACAATTTTTCCAGCTATTCATGTCCTTGCAATATATTACCCTGCCAGGGGGTTGAAAAGGGGGAAACAACTCAAAATATCAGGACAGGGGATGCCAATGGATGCCAATGGATTGCAATGGATTGTTTAATTGGGAAATAGCCTGGAGGTGGCTGTGCAGGAAAAGGCATTTGCAGAGGTGCTGAGCGCCCTGTGCCATCCTTTCTGAGTTAATGGATGCAAACAACAGGAAAGGAGGCCACCACCACCATTTAGAAATCTGGTATTTTCCCCAAAACAGTGTTCTGGGGCAATTAGATATTGTAATTTTTACTAGACATTGTAAATTTTATTAGATATTGTAATTTTTATTAGAAATTGTAATTTTTATTAGATGTCTCACACTCTTGTTCAGTGTGAGACACAATAAAAATTACAATATTTTTTTTTAAAGCATAGGTAAGAGAAGGGTAGAAATGCTTGGTGCAAAAGAAACAGAGAGAACCAAATTCTGATTTCACCAGGACTGAGATTTCCCATAATTGCTGTCCCCTGTTTCCTAAGGGTGCCTGGATGCTGTTTCCTCTTCCTGATAGGGAAAAGGAGCCAGACACTGGAAGGATATTCCCAAAAATTTGCTAATTTTTAGTTTTATTTTAATTATAAATTTTTAGCCCTCAAGTGAATTTTGACCTTTACTAGAATATTACGTATAATTAATTGGAAAGTATCCAAGCAGTACTCCATACAAAAAAAGGTGAAGGATGACATTTCTTAATGAATGGGGAGGAGGAGAGAAAACAAAATGCATTGTTCCATTTCAGCTGATTCACAGGATGCACAGAGGTGAAAATGAAAACTGAAGTGTTGAAAAAAGGATGGGAAGGGGAACTGAAGAGAAGGAAAGAAGATTTGTACCAAAAATATGTTTCCTCTCTACCTTTAATGTCCATTTTTTCCTTCTCCTAGCACAGCATTCTTTAGTAACCCTTTTCCCCATGAATCACGATAGTGAGTTTTGCTTTCTCAGGCATTTTTTATTCAAGATTACACTTCAACATTTATTTTGCCCTGCCAGTCCTAAGAAAGACAGCACATATTCAAAAAGTAACAGGAAAGACAAGCATATTTTCCGTTTTATGTAATCAAAATCAGCCTAATACGTGCAGGTGTGCACATGTGGGGTGTGTGCACACACACAGAGGCTGGAATAGTGTCCCTCCAGCTGTCCCTGGGCTGCATGGTCCTGGTCCAGCATCTGAAACCTTCTTTTCCATTATGTTGTGCATCAGAAATTATCCCATCCCCTGCCAGACTCTTCCAGCTGAAAAATCGCTTTTACATATGGTAAATGTGCAGGCAATTCCTTTTGCTGTGGTGCCATAAATCCAGACTCTGGATTATTTTCTGCTGGTTTTTTTGTGGTTTTTTTTGGGGGGGGGGTTTGGGTTTTTTTTTGTTTGTTTCTTCCCCCAGTGCAAGCCTTCAGAGAGCACAGCCCACATTTCAACCCCTCTGCGTGGGTGTAATTCACTTATGGCACTATAAGAGGGAAAAAATTGGACTCCATTTCCTTCAAAACATGGATTTTTTTAAAATGGGGTTTTTGCTAAGAGGTGACAGTGG